TTCTACTACACAGTAGCTTTTAAGCAGGGAATTACTCAGTTTGCATGTATTTGACTTTATTTCCTTTGTCTTCCTAGCATTGATTTCTAATTTTATAATATTATGATCTGAGAAGATGCTGTGTAGTATTTTGATGTTTTTATATTTCTGGAGGCTTGTTTTGTGGCATAACACATGGCCTGTCCTGGAGAATGGTTCATGTGCACTGGAAAAGAATGTGTATTGTGCTGTTGTTGGGCTGAATGCTCTGCATACACCTATAATGTCCAGTTGGCTGATTGTGTTGTTTAATTCCTCTATGTCTTTGTTGAGCTGCTTTCTAGTTGTTCTATCCTTTTTCAAAATCAACACATGTATTTTTAGGGGACACAATCAATTTAAAACATAATCTTTATTCATAATCACCAAAAATGGAAAACTTTTTTCAGTAGTGGAATAAACTGTAGTATATCCATGCAATGGAATAATACTCAAAAGTACAAATGAATGAGCTATTGATCTGTGCAACAGTATGGATGATTCTTACATTTACAAATACAGCTGAATTTCTGTAAGTGAACAAAAGCCAAACCCAAAAGTCTACATTATTCTATAATTTCACTTACATGACACTGAAAACAACAAAACTATAGGGAGGAAAAACAGATCAATGCTTTCTAAGGAATGTCAGGAGGCATTGTGTATAAAGAAATTGCACAGGAGAATTTTTAGTGTAATGGAACACTATATAAACTACATTGGGAGAAAAATCAACCAGGAGGATTCTGTGAATACGGTGCCATAAACATACCATCTCTGTGACCCACCTCACAAATACAATGAGAAATGCATCATTAAACAGTGCACGGCTTTGAGGGACTCTAGATTGGAGAACAGTAGACAGCAGCAGGGAACTGCAAACAGTTAAAAATCAACGAATCACAAGCCACATATGGTAGAAAAATGTTTTGTCCCACTGTCCTTGCTCCTTTCCATAGCCACATGGGCCACTGGTTGTTGTGAACTGAGAAAGTGACCCCAGAAAAAGACCCAGCTACCCTACCCTGGTGTGGCACTGTGGGTTAATGCGCCAGACTGCAAAGCTGTTTGAACTGCAAGGTCGGTGGTTCAAGCTCACCTTCTGTTCTTCAGAAACCCTATACAGGGTCGCAATGGGTTGGAACTGACTCGACAGCACTTAACAACAACAACAACCCTAACCAACAGCTCCTGGTGTGGCGCTGTGGGTTAATGCACCAGATTGCAAAGCCATTTGAACTGTAAGGTTGGTGTTTCAAGTTCACCAGCTGCTTCTTGAAAACTCTGTACAGGGTTGTTATGAGTCGGAACCAACTCGACAGCACTTCGCAACAACAATCCTAACCACCATACCCTGTACTTGTACAAAGAGAGAGAACTTCAAATTTTGCTCAAAAACCAATAAGGTGGAATTTTGGGGGATCTCTTTGGAGCATGCCACCACCTATTCCATCCAGACACTATCAGTCGCAAAACTGCTATAAATTGCTACTAAAGGCCCCTGAAGTGGAGTCTGCTCCCATAGGTAACGCTTTACTTGCCTCTCTGAAAAAGATCAGGCCTTGTAACCAATAAGATCGATTTAGATCATCCTACTTCCTCTCCTAGTCAGTGCTGAGGACTGTTGTGCAGACATCTTGACTGGAACTTATACGCACAACCAACCTCTTATGGGGAGCGCTCTAAAAGCAAAAAGACAGACCTCATGGGGATATTTTCAGGAAGTGACCCCCCCCCCCCCACACACACACCCATTAACTCCATTAACTGTCAGCTGCTGAATAAATAGAAACATCTGCAAAGGTTCCATACAGTGGAGCCAGGATGCAGATCACCTAAGTGGGGACTTCTCCAACCACAACAGGACTACTGGAACTGTGAAACCAACCAGACAGATTTCTTAGAGGTTCTTCTGGGAAGTGACAATCCTTTACCTTGAAATGGAGAAAATGTGTTACTCCTGAATGCTAGCTAAGATATAAGCAGCCCCTTTAGACAAATCTGCTGCACAAGACCTTTTAAAAATGTTGAAGAGCAAAGATGTCAGCTTGAGGACTAAAATGTGCTTGACACAAGCCATGGTATTTTCAATAACCTCATATGCATGCAATAGCTGGACAGTGAATGAGGAAGACCATAGAAGAATTGATGCTTTTGAGTT